TCAGTGTGTTAAACCAATGGTATAAATACCCTAATAAATATTAAAATTCAAATGTTAAACCAGCAGTTTTCCCCTCCAAAAGTTGGTCCTGTAGTCCAATGTGACATTAAATCCTCTTCTCTGAGGGTACATCTACACTACAGGGGGGAGTCGATTTAAGATACGCAAATTCAGCTACGTGAATAGCGTATCTGAATTCGGCGTATCGCAGCCGACTTACCCTGTTGTGAGGACGGCGGCAAAATCGACTTCTGCAGCTTCCCGCCGGCGGCTCTTACTACCACCTCCCCTGGTGGAGTAAGAGCGCCGATTCGGGGATCGATTGTCGCGTCCCGACGGGACGCGATAAATCGATCCCCGAGAGGTCGATTTCTACCCGCCAATTCAGGCGGGTAGTATAGACCAGGCCTGAGACTGAAATCAGTGAATATCATTAACAAGACTTGTGAATGTACAGAATTTAAAATTCTAAATGGGAGAGAGTATATTTGCTCCCATCGCAACAGTGTTCTCTACATCTACAAAACTGACACAAGGCCATTGGATGCAGTCAACTGGGCTAGCTCCACTGATGTCAAGGGACATATGCGAGTTTGCACCTAAGAGTCAAATTCAGAGGTGACATATAAAGTCTCATTTAGAATTGCTTGCTAGTCGAAGGGCCCTGATTCAAAGCCCACTGAAGTCAATGGAAAAAGTCAGTGGATCAGACTGTAAATTGGTGGAACTTGTATGCCAAGGAGCTGGATGAAGGTGAAAGGTAAAAACGGGTGGGGGCTACCTCAGCATACACTTGCTACACTACTCATTCTTGTCTTCAGGCGCGTGCAATAGACCAGCTTAGAATCCTTACACTCAGTGAGCCAAATTCAGATGTCATGGGCCAGGAAGTAAAAGGTGTAAGTTATAAGGTAGTAAGTCGGTCCGAGTCTCACTCTAGGCATCTAAGTTGGTGAACATACATATTGGAGATCGTTACACCAACTCTGACTCTATCTTAGTTAGACTGTAAGCTCTCTGAGGCAAGGACTATCCTCTCCATATATATCTATGTAATGTTTAGCACTGTGGGGCCCCAATCCTGACTGGGACTGCTAAGTGCTACCATAATACAAATAACTTAGGTCTGCCCAGCTCCCACTGAATGAAGCCAGACTTTTGTCATTGACTTCATGGGGAGCAGATCCTTAGACTCCCTTCTAAATGTAGCTCTATACCTCAGGCTATCAGGAAATCATCAGACCCCAATGAACCATTGGGAGCTTTGGAAATTGGAAAATTAGAATCTGATTGATTTCCACAGCTCAGAACGTCTTCTGAACAGCCATGGAGTCTTTGTAAAAGTTCAAACACCATTAACTCAGTTTCCATTTGCAAACAAGTGTCAAAAATATCTCACTTGTCCACTAAAATAAATCTGTGTGAGTAAACATAAATTAAAACAAGCAAACAAAAAAAAACAACTTACTGCAGGTCCAATTATAACAAGGTGGATATGGGGCTCTCTTCTGTGCCACTCTAAAACACAACAGTAAATTTTTTTTAATATTAACAAATTATGCTTAATATTCTTACAATCACATACAGAGACTGGGCCAAGTCCTCCTCCCTTGAAAACAATGGGAGCACTTGCATGACTAACACAGGTAGAATTTGGACAATAGCATTAGTGATAGTGTTTAAATATGGAAAGTAGATCAGATTTTCACTTCCAACATTCACACACAATATTCGATTCATTAACATTATTGAAGTTAGTGTTTATTTTTCTTTCACTCATTCTGTTATGATTCAAGTGTTATTTTTTGTGATTAAGCTGAGGTATTATTTTAGAATAATTTTAACAGTGAAGCGTTTTACAGGATGCTGGTGAATGGGGTTACTTAATCAAGGTAGTTTGGATTCTTGTTCTACCTAAATGACCAGGACTTATTCTTACCACGAGTACCTGCATGTGGCCCCCAGGAAATGCTGCGGAAATGCAATGTTTTGTTGTTACCGGTGGAGGGAAAGAATAACTGCAAAGTCATCACAGTTGTATAGTGTTTGTAACTCTGTAATCTGCAAAAATGCCTCTCTTCAACGATTCCATTGCCAAAATAGGGCCTACTCATGTGAACACTTACTTGACTTTAACAGACTACACATGGTAATAAGCCCTCCACAGTATAGTAAGGGTTTGCATAATAGGATCAACAGAATAGTGGTCTAAGAGCTGTAGGGGGCTAAGATTTAGAATGCCTGGACTCCCTGCAGCCACAGTTCAAATCCTGGCAGAAGAGACTCATCCATTCACACTTTTGACACAGCTAAATTGAGAAACATGCCGTTTGCTGTGTATGTGGGTCTTTCAAAAGTGAACACCTAGTAAAAGGTATGACTAGCTTTGATATGGATGATCTAATCAATTCCAAAGGGTATGCGGTATGTCTAAACTAGGAAAATAGGTTGTGTTTTAAAATACGTTAGGCTCCTCTGTAGATTCACCACCCACAGTCTAACAATTTTCTTTTAAGATGTCAGACTTTGTCTATCCTTTAAAACCTGTTTTAAAATGTTTTAGCCGACCTTTTCAAATGTGGTCTATTTTCCTACTTCAGACAGATCTTAGAACTTTGAGAGTAACTTAGTGAATCTCATTGCCTGGTGTGATCTGTTTTCTGTATAATTATCAAATATATTGCTTTTTAATTGGTGTATCAAATTTCAGACCTGCCTTATTTTGGTTGTGCCTCACATGAACCTTCGTATCAGTGTTGGACTTTATACATCTTGATGTGAAATGTACCAAAAAGAAATACTGAGAACAAAAAAAGACACAAAGGATATAAACATTACAAATACGAATTTTTACTACTTTTCTCACCTCTGACCACCTCCCTCCTAAGCTGATCGGTTGTCATTACTTTCCACATTATATCTATTTTAGAGCCCAATCCTGTTCTCGGTGCAGGGATTCTGTCTTATATGTATGGTAAGCCCTATCTGAATTATGATATTGTAATACTCATAATTGAATGTGGAATAATTTTAAATCAATTTTCCAATTAGAAAGGACTTTAAAAAAACTTTTGCTCTTCATTTAAAAAAACAAAACACTTTTCCAATCTACAAAATTAGTTAAAATTCAAGTTGGTCATTCATCTTTTTAGTTCATAATTTTTAGTTATATTTTAAAGTTTAATCTTGTTCTGAAGTTAAGAAATTATAGAATCACAGAAATGTAGGGCTTGGAAGAACCGAAGAGGCCCTGTAGTCCATCTCTCTGCACTGAGGCTGTATTAAGTCAAGCTACGATGAGCTGACCGAAAGAAACCCTTACTGCTTCTCACTTGTCTCATGTACAAACCTGATGAATCTCTCTCTCTCTCTCTCAAAAAAAATTATATATATATATACAGGGTCCTTGCCCATTCTTTGTTAGGGGAAAAATAATGAGAAATTGGTTTTACAGAAATCTGATGATGAATACAAGAAAAGTCTACTCGCAGGGGATACTGGACAAATTGTATACGGAGTCGAGTGTATTCTGACACAGAGTTTGAGGAGTTGTTTCTGTTCTATGATTACTTATATGGAGCAACCATTCAACAAACTGATATTTCAGCTAGTGCATCTCATTATCTTGGGTCAGTGAACTGATTTACGAAGCTCCCAGTAATCTCAGACATGGAATACTCCAAAGAAGGAATATAACCTATGAAAGGCATCAGTGCTTCAGTTCAACAAAAAAGTGAAACAATAGAGTAGAGTGTAACAAAGCATAAAAGTAAACTTTTGGTTTAGACAATTACCTGATTCTCTAATGTAGAACAGAGACAAGTTCGGGATACTAATAACACCAATTCGAAAAAACGATGGAGATGTCTAAACTTAAAGTAGCAGATATCTGCAGAAGTCACAGCTCTGGCTCAACCTCAACATCCACTTCTTTTTGCTCCTGCTCTTGCATTGCGGAGCATCTCTGGTGGAAATCCTGTGATCAGATTGACTTCCTCCACGACAAATTTGTTCTCTCCTTCAGTTCTGCCATATTCCTAGCTAAATAATTTTACTCCTCTGATTTTAATTGAATCCAAACCGACAATCCCAGCTGCCTTTTTATCACCTTTGACTTATTCCTCAAACCCTCCCTTCCTCCTGCCACCACTTCTCTCTCTGCACTGGATCTTACCAATTTCTTGTCACAAGAAAACTGACAAAATACATTGTGAGCTTCCCCCATCAGTTCCCACCTTCGCCTCTTACAACTCTCTCCTCCTTCTCCCCTGCCACAGATGCAGCTGTCCTACTCTAACCCCTTCACTTGCTGCAGTGACCCCATCCCATCTCCTGAATTACTTCATGCCCACTCACATCCCCTCCCTTCTCTTTAACCTTTCACTCTCCTCTGGCTCTTTCCCCTCACAACACAAGTATGCTTTAGTCTCTCCCATCTTAAACCTACCCAATGCCACTTGCCTCTCCAGCTACCTCTCCATTTCTTTTTCTCCCTTTCTTCTCTAAGCTCATCAAACACACACTTTACAATCACTGGAGTTCCTCTCTCCAGTTCCATCCTAAACCTCCGCAATCTTTCATTTCCTGCATTCCACACAAACTGCTTTTGCAAAGAATAACATCTTCCTAGCCAAAGCTTAGAACTAGTACTCCATCCCCATCATCCTTAACTTGTCAGCTGCCACGGACACCATCAATCATGCTCTTCTTGAATCCTTGTCCTTCCTTGCCTTCCATGACTCTGTCCTCTCCTGGTTCTCCTCCTACCTCTCTAATCACTCCTTCAGAGGATCCTTCTCATTTCCCACGCCCCCTTCCAACTTTCAGTGGGCATTCCACAAGGCTCTGTCCTTGGTCTCCTTCTCTTCTTCTCCCTCTACACCTTATCTCTGGGTAATCTCATCTTCACACACAAATTCAACTTCCACCTCTATTCTGATGACTCACAGGTCTACCTCTCTATTCCAAACCTGTCTCCTCCTGTCCAAACTAAAACCTTGGCCTGTCTCTCTAATATCTCTTTGTGGATCTCTACCCTCAGCTCAGTCTTAACGTGGCTAAAACAGAGCTCCTAATCTGCCCTCCCGACTACCTCCTTTCTTGTTCACTGTGGACAACAACACCGTCCTTCTTACCTAAAGCTGTAACCTCGGTGTCATCTTTGACTTGGACCTCCCTCTAAGTCCTTACATCCAGGTTATGTTTAAATTTTTCAGATTATTTCTGCATAACATCTGTAAAATATGTCCTTTCCTTTCCAAACACATAGCTAAGACACTTGTTATCTTGCAGCTTGATTACTGGAACTCGTCTGTCCTTGACAACTGCATTCTTGACTCACTCGTCTCCATTCAAAATGCTGCTGCAAAGATCATTTTCCTAGTCCATCACTTTGACCATGTCACCTCTTTCTTTGAATCCCTCCAGTGGCTCCCCCTTCTCTTCTGCATCAAACATAAGCTACTTATCTTCACTTTCAAGGCCCTTCACAGCATCCCCATCCTACCTATCATCTAGTTCACCACTGAAATGTTAATATTTCCACTTGTTAAATTTTCAAACAAGCACCTTCATGCTTTCTCCCATGCTTCTCATGCGCTTGATAAACATCTGCAAAGCTAACTCATTATCCTCCTTTTCTCCGATTCCTACAAAAAACTTGGTAACAGTTAGGCTGCTGGTGTAATGATACCGCTGCTTATCATGCTGATCGATGCTGTCTCATTGTTTTCTTGTACTGCCCTTTCTGCCTGTCAGTATCCAACTGTTGTCTCTTGTCATATACTTAGATTGTAAACGCCTTGGGGCAGGAACTGTCTTTGTGTTCTGTGCTTGCACAAGGGGGTACTGCTCCATGACTGGGACTTCTAGCTGGTTTGATACTATTA